TTATTTCTAAGAATTTTGATGGAAATTCAGCTAACATATCACACTTTTGATGCAATTATTGGGCCTAACAAAATTGCATTATAAAAACTTTGATCAGTGGTTTTTGTTACGAGTAAACAGACAGAAAACGTGAATCCAGCAGGTTACCTCTGCCTCAGTCAGGTGCTTGCGGGGTTGGAGCCAGCCTCCTGTGGACTTCAGACTTTGCCCTTTACTGCTTTGCTGTAGCTTTGCATTGACATCTGTTTATGCTTCATGATGCTTTTTTATTTTTATTTTTCCTTAAGTTTTGCTGCCAGGTTTGTGGAGTGAAATGACTTCTCACATGCTAAAACTACATTTTCTATGAATGAAAATGTACCTCATAAGGATTTTCCCTTTGAAAAATTTCCTGAAGTTTTATGTTCGTGTAAAATGTTAAAAACTTGGTCTTCCTACTTAAAAAAGGAGATTTTAAGTTTCAGATGAAGACTTTTTTTAAAAAATGATCCAAGAGAAAAGGATACGTGAGAGAGAGATGAGGAACCAAGACAGAAGCTGCCAAGTCTTTTGTAACTTAATCTCAGAAATGGCATACCTTCACCTCTGCCTTATTCTCTCAGTCACATAGACCCGTGCTGGCCCAGTGTGACGGGGCTGTGCAAGACTGAATACCAGGAGGTGAGGATCACTGGGGGCCATCTTGGAGGCTGGCTGCCACACTGGTTGTTGTGGATTGAATTGCACTCCCCTAAAATATGTATTAAAAACCTGACCACAGATAGGAGTCCCTGGGTGGTGCAAACGGTTAAGTGCTCATCTACTAGTCAAAAGGTTGCAGTTCCAACCCACCCAGAGGTGCCTTCTCAGAAGATAGGCCTGGCTTCCGAAAGGTCCCATCCTTGAAAACCCTATGGAGTGTTTCTACTCTGACACAGGGGTGTTGTCATGAGTCAGAATTGACTCAGTGACAATTAACAACCGCAAAGCCTGAAGTGTGATCCTGTTTGGAAGTAGGATTTTCTTTGTAAAGACTCATTTTATTGATCATTTATCAACATGTATGATTGTTAGGTAAATTTCTATGCTGGATACTTCTTTATAGACTGGAGGTATAAACTTAAGCTATCTTTTTGATAGGCTGACTATATTAAAATTGGAATGGTTTGGTTGGCGTCCAGGTAGGATACGGTAGTGAGGTTGGAGTGGGTGCGTTTTTCACACTTCCCTGCCTCTGAACCCCACCGGGCTGCAGGCACACCTTGGAAGACCATACCTGTGGACTCCTTTCCGTTGAGGCAGCCCATCCGCCCAGCTGACCTGACTCTGGTGAGAGATGTGCAAAGAGGTTCTTGCTCTGGGTGACTGTGGGGCAGAGTTAAGCCCACGGGTGATAGAGAATAAAATCCCTAATTCTGGCTCTGACCAGCGCCCGTCGGGCCGACAGGCAGATTCTGTAGGTTGGACCACCAGACCCCATTCTGTCCTCTGTTAGCTTCTTGTGTGGCCTGAGACCAAACAAGACAGTCACCAATGTTGGTGATGAAGTTAACAAACAGTCCTTTCCCCAAAAGGAAGATATTTTATCACTTGAAAAATAATTTTTGACATTTATATTGAAAAATGCACTGTATTAACAGATTAAAGCTACCTTTTTAAAATATAGGAATAGAATGCCTTTTGAAATATTTAAATAGAATTTTTGTTTTACAATTTGACTTTATAGCTGTATAGTCTATGTAGATATTTGCTAGCTCTTTATGCAGACTGAATGTTGGCCATGAATTTTAGGTTTACAGGTTCAAGGATCAAGAATTGCTTTTGTTTTGCTTCGAAAAAAACTGAAACCGTTCTTGTTTAAAAACCAAGTGAGGGTAGGTGTGATTTTAGAGTGGTCTAGACAGAGCATTCTGCTTTGCAAAGTGCAATTTTTATTATACATTACTATTTTATGACAACTTAAAAAAATACACGTGAGTACAGTTGATGGATCTCTTACTGATCCCTAACTACCGCCAGTTACAGTGTATCCTGACCCCGGTGTAATTCATCATCTTCGGTTAATACAGCTTTGCTAACTCTTACTGGTATCGGGGTGTCTCCTCCGTGGTTTCTTCCCCTTTGCTCAGTATTTCCCAGGTGTGGTCTGTAGCTGTCTGCTCCAGGATCGTTTAGGGAGCTTGTTTGTAGCAGTGCGGGCTCCTGGCCTCCCACGGACACCCCCCCACCCCTTAGTCTTCCACTCCACTGAGGCTCCCAGAACCTCATGGATATGTCTACATCAGTGCCTTTATTAAAGCTAACATCAACTGAGCTTTTTCTTTTAATACAAGAAGCAGGCCATCTGTCTGTCCGCTTTTCCTCCTTACCCCAGAAAGCTTAGCATCCTTGTCTGTAAGATGAACACGTTGAATTGGGCCAGCAAGGTTCCATGTTTCCTTCTTAGCTGCCAGCTGGGTTGACACGTTGACTAGGTGTTGGCTTTGCGTAACTGACTTCTGACACAGGCTGGCTCCTGGCTTTGTGCTTCTGGTTGCCAGCTCATGCATGAACCAGGCAGAGCTTTTAAACCACACATGTAAGGAAAGGTGTTAAATAGAATGTAATAGGATTCACCTAGGGTTTGGGGGAGTTACTTTTATGTTGTATTAGAAGACGTATAAGGTACACTTACAAGCATGCTTGCCCAGGAGAAGCTTAACATTTAGTTGAAATTAAATGTTTAATCCATGAGAATGAAGCTCCACGGATGAAATCAGAGCCTGGCCTCTTCCACTGCAGTACCCAGTACCACCTCCTAGGACCATGTCTGGCACATGGACGTTCATAATTGGAGTAAATTAGTGGATATCTTAGCTTACTAAACATCAGGCAACCTGGCCAGCAGTTTTCACTAATCTGCCATCTTGTAAAACGCACAATCTGTATTCCACAGATTTTATTTTGGTAGCTTTTTGTTCGTTTCTGACTCTAGGATTGAAGGTAAATTATTCTTTCAAGGAGAACCATGTCTAGAGGGGAACAAGCGAGGCTCTGAACCCCAGTAGAGGTGGGTGACCGAGGCCGTGGAACACCCTGCTGGCTGACTGTTCACCTTGTCTGTGGGCAAGCGCATCTCATCGCGGGGCTTGCCTGAGACCACACCTGCGGAGCCCGCTGCAGACCTGACGAGGTAGACCCTCAAACGACACATATTTTCCTTTTCCTTAACAGCAAGTTAGCTTGTAAAAGGCTTCTAACTTGGGGGACGGAATACCTGATTGCCAGCAGGGTAAAAAGAATAGTGTTGATCTGGTACCTGTGCTGTAGTAACCCCTGCAGGGCCATATGCATAGGCAGAGGAAGTGACCTATTCATTATCACATGTCAAATGATCATGTCTGCACTGAAATTCTGTTATGCCAGCTCAGGCATTTACAATTTAATTTGATTAATGTCAGAGATGTTTGTGCGGGAGCGGCACAGACGATGTGGTTTTTTGTGTGATTGGGCGCGTATATGGGGACGTGTCTGACTCTCCCTGAGGTTTTCCCCACCATCAGCCTTCTGGTCTTCCTTGAGCAGTGTTTTCCTCTGCCTTATTCGTAAGTGCAGATGATTCCGGACAAGATTTAGGTGTTCAGCCCCTCACGCCCACCCCCACATGGCATGTGTGATACCTTGTCTCTTCCAGGCACTCCTGTCTTTTTGGGGTCATTGTTAAATTCACTTGTATGGGGACTTGGGGACAGAGATGAAATAAGAGTCTTGAGAATTGTAAAAAACTCTTCAAAAAGTTAGCTTTTATAGAGCTATGAATCAACATCAGTTTTATTGACCTTTTATAAAAATACAAAACAGGAAACTATTAATGTTATTACAAAACTCAACTGTAGGTTTTTAAAATAGTTTGCTGTGTTTAAATCGGAACAATTGTGTTGAATGGTGAGTGCAGTCTGCCCATCTTAACAGCAAATGAACATAGGTCACGTGTGAACAGCAGTTGAAATCCAAGCATCTTCTCTTTTTTTCTGGACATGTGTTACTCAGCTATTTTCTCTGAGTGTGATGCTTTTCCATATGGTGAGTGGAGACTATTGTAACATAATAGGAAGGTGGTCTTTTGACAACTCAAAATTTTGTTCGTCTTCATTTGTGTCTGATGTCATTGACAAACAGATGAATGTGCTGGGTGGGATTTAGTGACAGCTCAACGAGAGGGCAACCCTCCCTCCTTTTTCTCCTTTCAAAAATGCCTCTGCTCCTACACCCAGTACACTTCCTCTGCCCGGTGGTGTTTGGAGTCTTGAATCCGTCTTACTGGCCTCACTAATACTGAGACAAGACCGGCACTTGCGCTTTCGTTTAGCCCTGTGACAGCATTTCTGAAGACTGGCTGTTCCTGTCACAGTCCCTGCTTCCGTAGAGATGATCTCATTCAGGTAGCTGTTTTAGTTTCACTTTGGACAACTGTTTCTCTTGATTCTCTCGTATGATGTTTGAAGTTTTGCTAGGAATTTTATCTTGTGTTAAGACTGAAGAGGCCCTGGCGGCACAGTGGTCAAAAGCTCAGGCTGCTAACAAAAAGGTCAGCAGTTCGAATCCACCAGCCGCTCCTTGGAAATCCCATGGGGCGGTTCTACTCTGTCCTCTAGGGTCACTATGAGTCGGAATCGACTCCACGGCAACAGTTTTGGTTTTTGGTTCTATTAAGGCCAAAGTAGTTACTGTACTGACCTGTATGTTGATGTTCTAACATGTTCCGAGTGCATGTCTTTGATGATATTTATTGTACTTGTTTGCGGATGTTTGTCGTCTTGAAATGGCAGCGTGTAACGAATGGTCGGGTGTCTTTAACTTTTGTAGCTCTGAACCTCCAGTTAGGTAACACACCCTGCCACAATGAACTTCCAGTACGTTGTTGTAAATCTTGTAGTTAGAGAGCTTCCAGAAACGGGACGGAGTGTGTGAGGTGGGATTTGGAACGTTCTAAATGATCTGCGGAAAACAACGTGATTTTTGTTTTGTTTGTTCTGATGCAGCTTCCATGAGGCAGTCTCAGGCCGTACCTGCAGACCTGCGCCCGGAGATACGGATTGCACAGGAGTTGCGACGCATTGGAGACGAGTTTAATGCTTCTTACCCAAGGAGGGTAATGCCATCTTCTTTATCCCTTTTCTTCTCGCGTCCTCCTCCCCCTACCATGGTGGGGAAAAAAAGAGGACTAATAACAACTACTCGCTTATTCTGGAAATGAAAGCTGTTACCTACGTGTGACCCTCCATTGTTTTCCCTTTCCCGTTTTCCCTTTGCTTTATGGCTGGATTTAAATGATGGTAAATAAAATACAGTATAAGGTGGCAAAGGAATTTTGTGAACAAAAACCTTAAAACATCAGTGTAAAAAAATGGATTATTGTATGCTTTGAAATATTTCTACATAGTTATTATTAACATAGTTTTCAATTCTTATAGGGTATTTTTTGCACTCCCTTTAGGAAGTTTAGGTCGAAGTGAAAGAAATTTAAAAATTCCCATCCTCCCTCAGCCAGAAGGAACAATGCCAGCAGCGGTCTGAAAGGCCGTCCTGCGGTAGCTGGGGGCTGGAGTGAGCGAGATAACCATTGACCTCCGATCCCATTGTTGTCACTGGACATTTATTTATTGAAATGTGTTAGGGGACCACTAATTAATAGCCTGTAATTCGGGGTATAAAAACTTTAATTATGGACTCAACTGACCACCGCTTAAATTTTGAGGTGTGTTCTTGATTTTCTTTCTTTTTTTTTCTCTCCAAGTTAACCGTATATCTTCTGTAGACACTGTATATTTTTTGTTTTGCTGCTGGCCATAGGTGTTACCATTTGGACACCTTTTTCACATGGAAGACATTTTAAAATTTAGAGGCTTTTACTCTGGGAGTTAGGGCCACTGTGAGCATGTGTGACTGCTTTCTGTAAGGGGTACACTAACAGATGTGTGATATAAAGTATTTTTGACTTGTTCACTTTTTTACAGACAACCTTGTGTGAAGTAATTTCTGTTGATTTATCCAAAAGGAAGACACTGAGTCTTAATTTTGTGGAAAATGTTATAGTTGTTAGTGACATTCTTTCCTATTTTGTAGCTTCTCTTCTGGCTTATTTTTTCTGAACATTATTGTTTCAGAATTTCATTATTGTACCTCTTAAAGTTTTTTTTTCTTTCCTTGTGGGAGGTCATGCTCAGAACATTAGTCTCTTTTTCTAGCTAGCTATTGCTAAGTAAATGGATGCCACCTGTTAATTACTTCAAATCATTCTTATTTTCCTGTCTACGTACAGTGCCTTTCAAGCCTGCTGTAAACACATATAAGGGCGTTTTTCTCATTGCAAGGGAGTGCTCCACTTCGGCGGTACAGAAACTTCCTAAGGTAGTTAGGGGCTGTGTGATAACACACACAGGACCTTCTTTGTACCTTCCTGGAGGGGGTGTGTGTGTTTGATGAGGAGTGTGCCATAGTCGGGGTTCTGTCGTTCAGTGAGAGCGTCACATTTGGTGAATGGACTTAGATACTTCTTATGATCCTGTTTTTAGCTGGCAAAATGCCTGGGATCCTACACCTGACGTGGACCAGTCCACGGAACATAAATTCCTGCTGAGACCTAAATCTGAAATGGTAATTTTTTAGAAGGTTGATAGCTATTATAATTTGCCGCAGAAGTTACTCTTAACCCCAAATTTCTCAGCCTTGGTTTGCCTAAAGGGATTTTGGTGTGACTGTATAGGAGGAACTGACAAACAGAGATACAGTATATTCAAGATGTTGGTCCTGATGCTGAGGGGGGAGGAAGTAGGTCTTTTTAGGAGGGTAGGTGTAAAGGTTAAGGTTGTGTGTCAGCTTGGCTGGGCCGTGATTCTCAGTGGTTTAGCAGTTATGTAATGATGTAATCATCCTCCTTGATGTGATCTGATGCGATTAGCCAATCATTTGTAAGGGGAGTTTCCTTGGGACTGTGGCCTGCATCCAATATATATATGGATGTTCTGGCAAAGCTTGCTTGCTTGCTCTGGATCCTGCATCCGGCTTGTCGTCATCTGACCTCTGGTTCTTGGGACTTGAACCAGCAGCCTGTCGTATTGTCTGCTGATCTTGGGATTCATCAGCTTTCACAGTCCATGAGCCAGTGGCCTGCCATCTGACCTGCTCAACTTGGATTTGTTAGCCTTGCAGGTACGTGAGTCAAGAGAAGCCACTAGCCTGACACCTGATCCATAGACTTGGAACTTGCCAGCCTCCACAGCCACATGAGTCATTTCCTTGAGATAAATCTCTCTCTATATGTTTATGCTTCATTGATTTTGCTTCTCTGGAGAACCCAGCCTAGGACATTTGGTACCGAGAGTGGTTTTAGAGAAACAAAATCATAAGGATGAGCTTTCTCAATTCGTTCTCAAGTCTGACTAGTCTTAAAGATGCTGTTAACTCTACTTCCAGTAGTAAAGAGGGCATTGCTAATCCATGGCATGAGGTGGCAATAGAAATACACAAAGTATCACTGCCAATAGAGCAAGTGTTGATGAGAAACGAGGCCCTGGGTGAACACGTTTGATACTGTTCTACAGTTTTGTCAGAATGGGAAGTATGGGGAGGCTGGTTGGTTGGTCCTACTTTTGCTAGGCAAAGTCGTGAAAGAAAGAGATGAGCTCAGGGCTTTGGAATCACAGCTCAAGCATCACAAAAAAGACCTCAAAGTTATCACTTGTGCCCTGAAAGAAACCCTTATATCTTGTTATAAAAGAGCTGATATTGCTGAAAACCAAACCCAGAGTCTTATTGTAAGAGTGGCTGAATTACATTGTCAACTGAATTCTCAACCTTGAATGGTGTCTGAAGTTAAAGTGAGGGTGTTGATTGGGAAGAATTGGGATCGTGAAACTTGGGATGGGGACATGTGGGCAGAGAATCAGGAAGCAGGGGACCCTGAGCCCCTAAATTCCATTGAATCAATCCTGCCAACAGGACCAGCCCTCTTACTCTCGTCTGAAGAGATCACTCCATCTTTGTCCGCTAAGCCAGCCTCCCCAGTCAAATCATTATCCCCTCAACCCCCGTCTGATGAGATTGACCCAGCTGTGTCTGAAGAGCCTTTTTCCGAGATATCGGCTGGCGTCGCATCTTTGAGTCATTGCCTGAGACATTGTCTGGGGCATCACCTGAGGTAGATAGATGCCTTACCAGACATTGCTGAATGTTCCCAGGACCCATCCCCACCACCCGATTTTGCTTCTAGACCTATAACTATAGACTTGAGTCCTATTGAGCCCCAAAAGGTGAAGTACAAAGTGTGACCCAGGAGGAGGTACACTACACCCCAAAAGAACTTCTTGGCTTTTCTAATATGTACAAACAGCAACTTGGGGAAATATGTGTGGGAAAATGGTGCAAGAAACATAAAGTGAGATCAGTCTGAGTTTATTGAAATGGGCCCACTAAGCACAGATTCTTCAGTGTTTCAGCTCAAGAGATTAGGAAAGGATCTAATAGTTTATTTGGTTGGTTCTCTGAAGCATAGATTACGCAGTGGCCTACACTAAATCAAGTTGAAGTACCAGGCCTACCTTGGTATACTCTAGAAGAAAGTATCTAATAGCTTAGGGAAATTTGGCATGCTAGAGTGGATTTATCAGGTTAGATCCACAGACCCACACATGGAGTGCCCAGAGGATACACCTTTTATCACAATGACAAGGAACAAATTTGTGAGGGGAGCCCTAGTATCCTTGAAGACTGCTGTTATTGCTATTTTATGTAAGTCAGATTTGACAGTGGGAACTGCCCTGACTGAATTAAGACACCTAACTGCAATGGGGTTGATTGGACCCCATGGTGAGAGGGGCCAAGTGGTGGCAGTCAGTCGATAAAGACAAGGTGGGCATGACTACCGTAGTGCACGGCGGAGTCAAAGCAGTAATCAGAATAGTCTGACACTTACGGACTTAATGGCATTGGCTACTTAGTCATGGTGTCCCTAGGAGTGAAATATATGGAAAATCTACTAATTATTTACTTGATCTGTATAAGCGGAAGAATTCTAGGTCAAGCGAACGGCAGTCTTAAGTCGAATCACCAGAATAGAGTCACAACCCCTCAATCAGTTTCCAGACTTAAGCCAGTTTACAGACCCACAGCCCCTCAAATGAAGGGGAGACTGGATTCCCTTGAGGAAAGACCCCACTACACTGCCAAAAATGTATACTGTTAATCTCTCTCCCAGCCTTCTCCAAAGGGATCTACAGCCTTTTATGAGAGTGACTGTTCATTGAGGAAAAGGAAATAATCAGACTTTTAGGGGATTACTGGATACTGGCTCTGAACTGCCACTAATTCTCAGAGACCCAAAACGTCCCTGCGGCCCACAAGTGTATGGAGGTCAGGTTATTAATGGAGTCTTAGCTGAGGTTCGTCTCACAGTAGATCCTGTGGGTCCCTAAACCCATCCTATAGTGATTTTCTCAGTCCCAGAATGCATAATTGGAATACATATACTCAGCAACTGGCAGAACCCCCTCATTGGATCCCTGACAAGTGGAGCAAGGGCTATTATGGTAGGAAAAGCCAAGTGGAAGCCATTAGAACTGCCCCTACCTAGGAAAATAGTAAGCCAAAAGCAATACTGCATTCCTGGAAGGATTGCAGAGATTACTGCCACCATAAAGGACTTGAAGGATGCAGGGGTGGTAATTTCCACCGTATCCACATTCAACTCGCCTGTTTGGCCTGTGCAAAAAACAGATGGATCTTGGAGAATGGCAGTGGATTATCGAAAACTTAACCAGGTGGTGACCCCAATTGCATTTGCTGTTCCAGCTATGGTTTTGTTGCTTGAGCAAGTTGAGACAGCTCCTGGTACCTGGTATGCAGCTGTTCAGCTGGCCAATGCCTTTTTCTTGATTCTAGTTTCAAAGGAGCACTGGAAGCAGTTTGCCTTCAGTTGGCAAGGTCAGCAGTACACCTTCACTGTCTTACCTGAGAGGTATATCGATTTTCCAGCCGTATGTCATAATTTTGTCCGCAGGGACCTTGATCACCTTTCCCTTCCACAAGACGTCACACCGGTCCATTACATTGATGACATTATGTTGATTGAACCTAGTAGGGAAGAAGTATTAA